ATGTGTGTGTGTATGTGTGTGTGTATGTGTGTGTGTATGTGTGTGTGTATGTGTGTGTGTATGTGTGTGTGCATGTGTGAACCAATGTAAGCACGAAGTACAACTGACATTGTCAGACCATACGGTTATGTCAAAGTGACACCCGCCCTTTACGGCGTCTGAATACTGCACGTTGCTGCAAGAGGCAGATGGTATCTGATAAACGGGTTCTCTTGAAACTAGAAAGCGTATCTGTGCTGCTAATAGTATAAGAATCCTTAGAATAAGAAGCAAAACCTAATCTATCTTTGAATAGTTTGTACTGACTTGAACATAGGGAAATATAAATGTGGCTAATTCTAATGTCTTTAAATCTTTGATGCAAAATTTGTACTTTTCTGATATTGTCTCGACTTGATATATTTTAAAAACATTTCTGTCAACTTTCAGATTTCTTGGCAAAGCTACTTACAGATATTTCTGCCATAAACACCCCGCTGTTCTAGAAGAATGGACGCCAACTGGGTATCACGGAAGCTGATTCTGGCAGCAGCGCTGTTCCTGTCCTCAAGTTCTTGTGTGCTGAACGTAACCACACCTGAGGTAGAAGTAGGAAAAACTGCCAACGTGTCACTGGAATGTTTCAATCCGTATCCCATACCCGACGTTTCTGACATTCTTGTTTTGAGAATACTCAAATGGGATCATGATGAGTGGAACAGCGTGGCAGAGCTAAAGAGCGGCCATGATGCGGAAGTCAGACAAAAATCCAAAGATGTATTTGTTGAGGGGGAAATCGGATCTGTTGCTGAAAGCTTTCTGAGACTTACGTGGCCTGTGGCGACCAATGACACACTCGGTCAATACAGATATGACTTGGTCAGCTTCACTTTCCAAGAAAATGTTTCCTGGTGGCGTAGTATGTTGTCATACATTCTTTTTACGTAATAATATATTGGTTGTTAGATACGCTTAAATCTATCTAATGACCAGGGACGTGTCTATAGGCTAGACCTACACAGGGTTGCCAAAGCTGGGGTTTACCCGCCAGATCTTGGGTTTTTCAGGGTCATCTGGGGTTCTGGGGTTCTGGGGTTCAGGGGTTCTGGTGTTCTGGGGTTTTTGCTTCAGAATCTGGGGTTTTCTCCTCTGCATGATATTTTTAAAATCACCAAATAATAAAAACAATATAACATTACAAAACTAAGTAAGGAACATAAAAATCTGGGTTTGCCCTCAACTTGTAAATGTCGCTGTGGCAGAGGACGTCATCTTGTACATATGGAAGTAAGTCACTTCCAGTATACATGTAGAAGTCTAGGTTCCTAGTTTTACGATACATTTAACATGTTAGGCCTAAGCAGTTATTTCGGGTGTCTGGGGTTTTGGAGGAACATTTCCCTGCTGTCAACAGTAACTGGTAACATAGATTTCGGCCTAACTCTCAGACAAGGAGTTTAAGCTCCTTGCTCTCAGGATAAAGATCTAGGCCAAATAGGCCTGTCAATAAATGCAAAATTCTCAGACGTCCGCAAAGTAGGCCTAGAATTATAATAATTATATGCAATTTTTCTGGGTCAAAATTATGACAAAATGTTTTTTTTGGTCATTTATCTTGCGAGTTTTTTGTTTAACAAAAAATGTAGCGTTTTCGTCAAGGGGGTAAGTTTTAAAAATATAATACTAGTGGGGTTTTTTAAAACCAAAAAAGTGTCTGGGGTTTTGGCCGAATACTTTCCTATTATCTGGGGGTTTTGAGACCTGGCGCTAGGGTTTTCTGGCAACTGGCCATTGGCAGCCCTGGATCTACATTGTATTTTGATACGTGCCAGACATGTTTCAATGGTGTTGGGCTTCTTGGGTACGTTCTCCCGTTTTAAGACCCTATCCAAATATTTAAAAACAACACATCTGAAATGAAAGTCCAATCAGTTGGGGCGTTGTAACAA